GGGTTCTTGTGAACTATTGTGTATATAATGGTTAAAAGACTACTCATTTAAAATAAAAATAGGACTCATTTTTATCTCATATACAAACGATGTCTACTCAGAAAAAGTTTAGAGTTAAGCAATAGAGAGACCCAATGTGGCCGACAATTGTATCACGATCATAAAAAATTGTGGATCCAGGAATACAAATGATAGGGGCAATAGAAAGAGGGGGCCTTTGAAGGCAAGCGTCTCTAGTTTTTTTATGGTTTTTTTTAAAATGTTTTTGAAAAAAAGAGGAAATTTTATATCAAATAAATTTAAAATAAATGAAATAAAATATTCATAAATAAAATAAAATAAAATAAAATATTTTAAGACTAGAAATATACTCCCTCCGTCCTAATTCTTTCTTCCCAGTTTAACTTTTCCCAGTTTTTAATTTTTGGCTTTGACTTCAAATTTTACCCTTCTTAAAAAAGATTTTTTGAAATTTTTTTTGCCATCATTCAATATATAGAGTTAGAAGATAATTGGTGTAAATACATGAGGGTATTAATGTCATTTGTCATCTTTTTTTTCTAATGGGAAGGTAGTTTTAGGACGGAAAAAAAAGGGAAGTAGGAAGATAATTTTAGGACGAATGGAGTATAATTATGAATGACTTACCTAATACATCATATATGTTATTTTGAAGGAATACCATATTTAATATAACTATAGTATTACAAATACTTTATCTTTATATTCTATTTATATAATTTCATTTCTTTTGGAATTGATTTTTTCTGCTGGGGCATAACTATTTTTTCACTAGGGTTACACTTTAAATTTACTATAATTTTTTATATTTTTAGACTATTAAAAAAATGGACCAAGGGCACCCGCGCCGATAGTATAATGATAGATTAGCCCTTGATCATAAATAAACATAAATATTACTAAAAAAATGATTAAGGCTACCTAAAAGAACTCTACAAGGCAGAAATCACACCGACATGCTGTAGGGCCTTGTGGACGTGAGTGTCAAATGGCTTCAAGTAAAAATGTATGTAAGATAATCTAAGAATTGTTGTTCCAAAGTTGACAAATATTCCATCCACTTGATCGTGAACTCCTTCACCGGTTTGACTGTGACCTTCGTTTTATAGGGGAAAGTTCGTGACTCCTAGTTCTGAATTTGTCCAAATTGGTCTTGGCCTAAAATAGGCTTTGAACATTTGATAAGAGTGGACTTTAATAATGATATAAATGATTGAAGTTTTAATGATGTGACTTATATACTTTGATATAAATATCGTATTGGATAGTAAAAAATTTCAAGCGTCTCCAAGCTTAGAAAATGGAGGCAAAGAGAGAGAAGAAAACTTGAAGTGCTTTTTGACTCCCAAAAAAAGAGAGGAAAAAGATTAGGGCTTGATATTATTCTTCATTGATTGATTATTTTGAATGGAGTTACATACTGATCTATTTATGGGAGATAGAGACAACCCTCATCCTAGTAAAACTATAAAACTTCATCATGTCTCATCAACAAATACATTGAGGTAAAGAATCGAAAAGAAACCTTTGAACCAACTTATAATTTCGTTCATCTAATAAAAATTATACTACAAGAAATAATAAATTATAACTAATAAATGAATATTAACCAACAAATAGTTAAATAATCTAATTCACCATTCATAACATTCTCACTCCTTAGAAAACCATCTTGTCCTCAAGATGGATACCGATCTAGTTAGGTGACAATCTGGTGTGGCCACAGTGTTGCACTGTTCAAGTTGCTTCAGTTGTTTTTTTTTTGTGCGAAGAGATTCTTTTTAAAATCGCGTAAGGATAATGTATCAGAGGCTGGATTTAACAGTCTCTTTTAAATTGGTTATTCCTAATAACCGATGCAAAAGGGTATTTACATCGATTATTAGGAATAACAGATTTAAAAGGGTGTCCTTATTTAAACTAGTTATTCCTTATAACCGATGCAAATACCCTTTTGCATAGGTTATTAGGAATAACCGATTTAAATGCTAAGCGTTTGGCGAATGTTTTTAGCTGTTAAATTGTTTATTCTGCTAATCGATGCAAATAGGGCGATTTATTTGTTTGCTTTTGTAGTAATGTCGTACGATTTATGCAAACAAGATACAGTTCAGCAGAACACGATTTTCAAGTGATATGGTAGAGTAAGATATTTAATTATATATCAATAAGCTCGATGGGATTATATCTCCTCGCCCTGTAAGATGTTGGGCCTGATCCATGGGAGAAGCCCACTAGGGAAATTCTACCCAAAGGCTCCTCTTCTAATATAAAATAAGGCTCCAACGTGAAGAAGGGGGAGCCTCCTCTGATAATCAACATACACATCACTCTCATATTATCTTCCGATATAGCTTTGAACTCCATTAATGACTACCACACCCACATGTTGTACAAATACTCCCCCGACCATTAATAAAACACCCCTTTTGACATGGCACCACATAAAAAAATAATGGTTTTCTCGTGATTTGGGTTTTCACATAAAAATCATGTGTTCTTCATATGAATATGATCTTGCAAATATGTAACCTGTTTTACATTATGACAAGCTCCAGCCAAGCTCCAGCCAATAAAGAAGACTCGGCATGAGCCCTGTCATCAAATAGGACATGAAAGAGGTTAATAAATAGGAAAATTTCTTACCAAGGTGAATATTGTGAAATTGACTCTCCAGCCAAGTATATATGTACAGTAATATTTTTTGTTAGTGTGTTGTGTTTAAATTTTAACGTGGTGGAACTCATCTACTAAAAAATAAATTTTCTACTACGTTTCTTGACCTTTTGGATAAATAAACATTACCAATGAAGGGAGTAACGGTCACCCTTTTACCCAAAATTATTGGGTGTCGCCCACTCTCTAAAAGGGATGTTATATCCCGGCCTTGATTCATTGCGAAATCTTCCGAAAGAGTCAACACAACTGGTTTCATTCTTTTTAAGATGAAAGTAAAAATGTTAAATCTACACAATGTTAAGTAATTAGAATAACTATGTCATACTTACTCTTCGTTCACAAGCATGAAATCATGTGCGGTTTTGGCATGTCCAGGAACAAAGACATACTCTCTCGGCATTCTCTGAATCACAATGGCCATGAAATCTAAATGTAGCAAACATAAAAAAAGTTTAGATGTCACATCATTGTGATTTTCCGTATTATGTTAATGGAGACTAATATTATTCACATACTGATTGGGGTTTTAGAACGGCATAAGTCATAGAAGTCAAAGAATTGTGCGAGGATAGTGTCTGTCTCATTTGTTGCCCGAATTTGTTCTGATTTTGGGGCTGCCTCAATCCAAGTCTTTTTACTCAACATCTAAATGTAATTATAGGTTGCGGATGGGGGATCACCACTATACTTGGTTAGGCATGGCAGCAGCATTGCTTATGTAGTACGTGTTTTTGAGGGCGAGTATCTTATCAATTTGTTCAATGTCCCCACTATTTGCGAGAGCAAGAACCTTGGTATCCTGTACAGAAATGGTTGAATGGAACATAATTAGTGCATGTAATATGTACGCTCTAAGATTGATTATTTTATAAGCTTTATAAGCTTACCTCCTCATCCTGCAATATAAAAGGTCTGTACTTGTTACGGCTCGTCCTTGAGTCTTTGATGTTCCGTTTCTCCACAACTCTAACCTTACATGTCCATTCCTTTTTGTTGTCATTTATTCCACTGATCATTCCACCTTACATGTCCATTCCTTTTTGTTGTCATTTGACTTTAAGATTAAGAGTTTGGGTCTATCTTTGCAATGGGGTTTTGTATCTGGGTTGTCGGGTCACTAAAATTAATAATTTAGGGCTGGGTTTTGGTGCTGGTTTTTGGGGCTCGTTGGTTGGGTTTTGAGTTTTGGGTTTAGACTTTGGGTTTGTTTTCGTGTCGGGTCACAAAAATTAAAACTAAAAGATCGTTGAAGGAAGACACATTGTGAACCTAGGTATTACACCACAACCTAATATGATAAAATAAATTGGAAATTGAGAAAGTTAAACATAGTTCAGAACAAAAAATGATTTATGATTTTAGATTTTTAACCCATAAATGGAGTTCAAAGACTGTGTGTTCATACCCTTATGTAGAATCTGGGTTAGGTTTTGGCGTTTATGTTTGGGACTGGTTTTTGGGCCTGGGTTTTGGGTAGACTCTAGGTTGGGTTATAGAGTTTGGGATTGTTTTTGAGTCTGGGACTTTGGGTTTACTATCCGGGTTTTGGGTCTGGTGCTTTGGGCTGGTTTTTGGAAGAATGATGTTCCAAGTTCTTGCGGATTTAGGCGTATCTGTAATTAAAAAATGTTTCTTCTTTACTTCTACTAATTGTGGCAAACAACACACCAATAAACAAACCAAATAACTAATATCATTCTACCTGGGAGGATACCTGCTATTACACCTAAATTAATATCTGGGTTGATGGGTCAGTGAAATTAATAAAAGATTGTTGAAGGGAGACACATATTGGCTGAGAGGATATTGATAGATAATGAAACTCATGGGTCGGAACAGTAGCCTTTAAATTATGCCAGTTTTTTCTTTGAGATGTGGTACCTTTGAATGGTAACTATTTAGTTTCATACATTTGGAAGTGTCGGTTATTTTCATACTGTCCTAAGCTTAAAGACATTTTAATTTAATTTATAGACGAATAACAAAATTCACCACACATACTTCGGGGTTTGTTTTAGATTTTTATGAAATTACTGAATTTCAAGCACTTTAAAAAGAGCACATAAATAAAAAGCACTTCCAGATTATCTAACACATAAATGGATTTCAAACACTTTCAAACAACACCAGGATTTCAACCATT